AAAACCCTTATACGCAATATGCACGCTTCAAACAGAAATTCTCTAATAGTTTGCTTACTGGAAATGGAAATCAAACCTACTGTATGGTGTAAACAGAACTACAACAATTCAAGCAGAAGGATGATGTGTGATAGTAAACCTTTTCGATTAAACAACATTCACCTCTTCTTCGTCTTCATCTTCGCCCTCATCCTCTCCTTCGTCTTCATTTTCTTCTGCGTCTTCTTCCTCTTCACCTTCATCTAGCTCCATCTCTTCATCTTCCTCCTCATCTTCATCGCTACTGTCATCATCAAAATTTAGCGTTGCTCGCGGAATCTCTTTTGCTCCTTTCTTTAAAGGGTGTGGTGTTGGTGGGATCTTCTTGGAAGAGGTGGATGGAGTTGGAGCAGCCGAGACGTTGACCTTCTTTTTGAGATCCGATCCCTTATCACTTTTTAGAGCACTTTTAATTTCCTTCTGATTTGGCTTTTGTGCTGGTGTTTTCATTATAGGTTCTGTTTGTTCTTCATCCTCCAGGCTTTCTTCATCCTCCTCCTCATCCTTAAATTCACATTCAACTCACAAAACCATCAAACATGAAAACAAAGAGTCACCTCCTCCTCATCATCTTCTTCGTCTTCGTCCTCCTCATCGTCTGGAACTGACAACTTGGAATTGGAAGGCACTCCCTTCTGCAGAGCTGCTGAAAAAGAATCTTTACTGCTCTTTCGCAAATTCCCTTCAACGACTACATAATTGGATTCAGGAGCAGAAAATGGATTAGAGAACTGAGGTGGCGGACTTTATGAACGATAGCTATTGCTAGCTGGTAGTTTGTGACGCGTTTGGTGCATAGCTCGGCGCACAAAAATAATCACACTCACTTTCCTCACCTTACTAGTACTTTCTTCAAGGTTGTCAAGCCTTCTAAAAACTTGTAAAGAAAAAAACCACGGCTGTCAATTAGAGCTATCGTTCATAGAGTCATAACCCGAGATGAACAAAGTATGAGATAGGATAGTTACATACAATACTTGTGACGAACAACACGCAAACGGGAAAATACTAGGTGTTAGGTGTGAAATACACAATTTTTAGAAATGTTTCAATTCAAGGACTACCTTTCCTTACAGGTGCAGCAACTTCATCATCACTTTCTTCGTCATCTTCATCACTAACTTCTTCATCTTCGTCAGAATCTTCCACGATCGCAGGTTTTTTAGAAACCCCTTTCTTTGTGACAGGCGTCTCCTTCCTGAGAACTGGCTTCACAGCTGAAACAGCGTTGATAAACAGGTGCTCAAGGACAGGATATCACTTTTCTAGCCATGCATCAGCATAATCATCTTCAAATGAGGCTTAAAATATTAACTGGATGCATTAAACAGGGCTACTCCCCGAAAGTTACATTTACATTTCGGCATTGCTATATATCACCTGCACTTACACAAAATTTTTGAACGTGTTTCGCTCTAAAGAATGACGCTCAAAACAGTACCACTTTCTTGGCTACATCGACTGAGAGAAAAAAAATACCTTTGGAAATGAAAACAAACTGTAGTATGATTTGAAATTGATAGTGAGATTTACCGTCATCTTCCTCTTCATCTTCATCTTCATCCTCCTCATCTTCTTGGTCTTCATCATCTTCAGAGTCTTCAACGGCAGCAGTTTTCTTAGAGGTTTCAAGTTTCTTCGTGATATGGATCTGCTTTTTTGCAGATGATTTTACGGGTTCTAGGTATAAAAATCTTTGAAAACATCATTGATACCGCAAAAAAA